CACATAGGTGCTCCAAGATTATCCTTTTTCAAAATCTTTTTGGCTGTTGTGGCCCCTTTGTATTTCCATATATACTTTAGAAAGTGTTCCTTGGTGTCTATAAAATGGACTGCTGGGATTTTGATTGAAATTACCATTCTCTTAGGAAACAAGTAACAGATGGGAACTTCACATTCTAGCAGGTGCTGGGGAAAACTGACATGTTGCTTTAGTGTGTGAACAAGAAATATTTTTATCCATTAAGTTAAAGCTTCTTTAATTTCTTTTTTGTTTTCCTTATCTCATATTTATTTCTTTCCCTTCTTTCTTTTCCTTTATCCCTCCCATATCACCTTCCCCTTTGGACCTTTTCTTCCCATTTTACATTATCTATTACACATTTTGATCCTTATTTACACTTTTAGTTTCTCACACCAGAGAAACTATTCAGTATTTATAGGTGTGTCCTATTTATTTCACTTAAGAGTATCGCCTCAATGTGCATCCACTTAGCTATAAATGTCTCTAATTTCTCATTTTTTATGGCTGAGTAGTACTCCATTTTATAAAAACAACCATTTTCTTTATCCAGTAAGACCTGTTTTTTAACATGCTGGGCATTAAATGCAGAACCTTGTACATGCTAGGCAGGTGTTCTACTACTGAGCAACATTCCCAGTCCAGGCCTATTTCTCCTTTTCTGTTGGTAAATGGTACTCTTTTCAATTTTAGTTTATAATTTTGGTGAGTATATAGGCATAAAATTGATTTTTATATATTGATCTTAAATTCTGACTTTTCTATATTTACTTAATAGTTCTAGTTTTTTGTAGATCTTTTAGAATCTTCTACATAGATGATAGCATAGTCTACAAAGAGTTTTATTCCTTCCTTTCTAATCTTTATGTCTTTTCTTTGCTCTCACATGTATTCCTATTTGTACTACCAGGTTGCATAAAAGAGATGAGAGACACTCTTGCCTCTTTGGTAGCATTAGTAGGTGTTATGGCTTGTATTTAGATGTCCCCCCAAAGCCTCATGCAATCATAGGTGGGGCTTTTTGGAGCTGGCTGGATCTAGGGTGTTTGATACTGGGATTGAGAGTGTGTGGCATGAAATTAGTCCACTGATTGGGATTGGCTCAGTTCTGAGTGTGGCTGAATGGATTTACTGAAAACAGAAGCCCCACCCTAGGTGTGGATGGCACCACCCAAAAGACTTGTAGCCTGGATGGGATAAAAGGGAAAAGCAGGCTCACTGTTGTGGCTTGCTGCCTCCTGCCTGCTCTGCCATGAACTTTTTTGCCATGCTCCTCTGCCATGCTGCCCTGCCTTGGAGCCAGCCAACTGTGGACTGAAACCTCTACAAACTATGAGCTAAAATAAACCTTTCCTCTTGAGTGTTGGGGATTTTGTCTTAGCAATTGGAACAGTATTTAAAACAGTAGGAAGGCATTTAGTCTTTTTCCATTAAGAATGAGCTTAGGTGTATGTAGATTTATCAGGTTTCATGAAGTTCTGTTTTAGTTCTTGTTTCCTAAGAGTATTTATCAAGTATTTTTTCTGCCTGTATTGAGGTAATTATGTATATTTTTTTCTATTAATAGGGTGATATGTAATTGATTTTTTATTGCACTTCTGGCTAAATCCCAAATGATCATGAGTCATTTTTCTTTCTACATTTTATTGAAAGTTCTCATTATACTAAAAATTGGTAAAGGATTTTGTTGCACCCAGTGAGAAAGAACCAAACGGAGACCGATATTAAATCCATACAGGAGTTTATTACCAGCCGGGACGAACGAAGCATCAGACTTGAGCTCCAACTGGAGGAGATCAACATATTTTATACACCTTTGAGGCCAACAGTTTCTAGGCCCCCCTATGGGATAGAACTAGTAAAGCAAGCAAAAGGTACAGAAGCAGAACGTCCTGCTGTTAGAACATTTGTAAAACAATAGTTGATTAATTGTTGTTTGTAAGAGACTCTCTAAGTGGAGGAGGTTTCTAAGCTTCCTCCTTTTGAGTTCATCTAAAGGGCAGGCAGGTGGGTCATTCAGCAGCAATATGGAGTCTGTCTTGCTAACTAGGGTCTTCAGATTTATGTATCTCTTTTCATGAAAAAATATCTGTTCTCTTTTCCTATACTTTGTGTTTGTATTGGGGTAATGCTATGGTTTAAGGACTAATTGGGAAGTTTTTGCTCTTGTTGTACTTTTTGAACAAACGTGTAAAGAATTGATCTTATCTCTTCCATAACCATTTGGTACAATTCAGCAATTTATGTTAGAAAAGGAATGTTGGTGCTAACAGGCATCCAAAAATTTGGTGCTGGGGTATCCCTAAGATTTAGACATTACTTTTCCCTTTCAAATTCAGGAAGAGGACTGGGAATGTAGCTCACTGGGAGAACCTTTGCCTAGGATTCTTGAGGCTCTGGGTTTGATCCCCAGTACCATGAGAAAGTAAAGTAGAATTCAAATACAATAAATCTGTGCTTTCTTTCCACTTAAAGTGGAAACCAGACAGATCCACAATAACTCTGTGAACCTACTGGGGAGCTTATATTTCTGCTAGCCAGCTCACATTTTTGTGTCCTTGCAGAGCTGTCTGTCCTAAAGTGATTTCAGGTCTCTTTTCACATCAGCACCCTAGCATTGATTTGGCTTCCACAGTCTTTCATTTTCCAAAGTACCACTAATATAGACTTCCCAAAATGGATGGGCCAGAAACAGGCTTTTATAGAATAGCTTGTAATTTGTTTCATATGGTTCCAATAAGCGGGTGATCAAATTATGATTTTACAAATCTCATGGCTTATTACAATAATCAATGAATTTATTTAATTAAAAGAAATTTACTTATATTTGTGAATAGCTTATCAATAATTAATTCTCCAAACTTTAACATGGAAATCTTATAAGTACCCCATTGCTGGTATATATAATATGCATTTACAACTGCTGTACCATAAATTAGCTGTATACAATTTTTTATACCATTTCAATGTTTTCCTTAAGGAACTGTAATATATGATGACATCTGCTAAGTAAATGCTTTTTTTGCATTATTGTAATAAAAACCTGAGAAATGGCACAAGCTGCTTGATGGGACAGTCATGCATATACCACCAAGTGGTTCAAGCCAGTGGGTATGATCAAATTCAAATCAGAGCCACCTGGCAATGAGATACGTGAATTATGGCCCTGTTGCGAATGTGTTAATGTTTACTGGAGTGGGGTTTGGTCTTGCTTTGGTCTTTTTTATCCCCTTATATCTCCCTTTGGGAGTGAGAAGTTTTGCCCTGTGCCACTGCAACTAATTTTTTATTTTTTGCAGAGGTTCACAGCTAAGAGTTTGCTTTGAGTCCCAGGAGAGATCTGGGCTTGGACTTTTGAAAGATGCTCATATTGTAGACTTTGGGGAAGTGATTATTGATTTTTGGATGTAACTAGGATATTTGTAGCATGTTAGGTGGAATTATTAATGTAGTATTGTGTTTATTTGGGGCTTAAGTATGGCTTAACAAGATGTTCTTGGGTGTCAAGTTGACAAGGGTTGGGATATGATGGTTAAGATTGTCCCTGGGGAAGGAAGGAAAGGGAGGGTGGGACAAAGGGGAGTAAAAGTGTTCACGATGCAGTATGTGTAGGTATTAATTCCCCAAAATGAATGTAATCATTATGTATCACAAACATATACTAATAAAAAAAGATTAACTGTCAACTTGATTTGCTTGAGAGAAGTGGATTAGTGAAGCATACTTCTGAGTGTGTCTGTGTGGGTCATGGAAGTGTGACGGCGAGCACTGTTTATGGTCGCCAGCCCCTTTTTCTCTGGTGCTGTGCTTCTGTTCTGCCTCCTGGCCTCCATGCACTGAGCATCTTTTCTCTGCCATTCACTTCTATAATGATATTTTGGCCTTGGAGCCGGCCAACCATGGACTAAATGCCCAGAAAATGTGAGCCAAATTAAACCGCTCCTTTAAATTATGGGTGTTGGAAATTATGTCTCTGCGACAGAAAAGTGAATATAGGAGTCATTTCAAAGCTACATAGGACAGTTTCAAATTTAACATTAGAGCTGGACATGGTGGCACATGTCTGTAATCCCAGCACTTGGGTGGCTGAAACATGGGGTTCCTGAGTTTAAGGTCATGCTTGGCTACATAGTGACTTGAAAGCCAGCCTGAGTATGTAGCAAGATCCTGTCTCAAAAAAGAAAGGAAGAAAGGAAGAAAGGAAGGAAGAGAAAGAGAGAGAGAGAGAGAGAGAGAGGGAGAATAATTTAATATCAGATAGACCTGGTCCACAAATTTCACTGGCAATTTCTAGTTGCATCTCTACATTAATTTACTTGACATTCATGATAATAAGACATATTTCAATGTCACATTTTTAAACTACAAGTACACAGGCATTGTTGATCAGGCTCAGAGTTGAACCAAAATGAAGATATTCACATTTAGAATGCTTCTTAGAACCACAATATTGAGTTAAGTAATTATGTACTGAATTGATGAATCCTTTAAAATTTAGATTTTTAAGACACATTACTCAAACATTTGCTAAAATCAAACCCCCAGAGACATTCCTCAATATAAAATACACATCTACATACCTCAAAAACATGTTGAAATTAGTTTATATTTTTATTTTTTCAAACTTGAATATGTCTTTCAAACTTGCAATTTATTAGTTACAATAAAACTTTGAAAATGTGTGGATATTTCTGATATTCAGTCTATTTTAAATGAAAATTATTGATGGACAAATAATTCAGTAAAAGCAAAAATTTTAGTAGCAAGGTTAGGAACAAAATGTTATAATTATTACTCTTGACTCATAACTTTATTATCTCCAAATCTTCCAACCAATCCTTACATCTATCAACTTCTTGTACTTAATATTTGGCCTATTTTTAAATGAAAATGATTGTTCAGGAACTGATTCAGTAAAAGCAAACATTCTAATAACAAGGTTAGGGATACAGAAAATGTTATAAATAATTTGTGCCACTATATTATTCCTGACTCAACTTTATTATGGGAAAATCCAAATAAGGATAACTAAAGAGTGTCAACCTCTTATATGGATTAGATGTAAGAAGAAACAGGAGAATCCAAGGCTGAGAGACTGAGCACCTGAGGCCTCCCTGAGAACCTGGGAAGTGATCATGGTAGTAGGATCTCGGGTGATGCAAAGCCTCTGTGGCTGTTGATGGCTATGTGAAGGGCTTCTTCCATTCTTTCCATTGTGGAATATTTAGGCAGATACAGAATACTGTGACATGTTAATGATCTTGGGTAATCTTTTTCACTGGAAGTTTCAGGACAGCAGAATACTATTCCTCTACTCTGGATGCCTCTTATATGGAGTCTATCACACCCTGTAAGAAATACTGGAAAAGAATAAACTTTAGTTAACTTATATCACAGAAAGAGAAAAACTCAAATTATGACAGCATTCACTAAGTAAATGATTGGTGAACACCCTTGTGCAAAGTGAACTATGCAGGGCCAGGTGGAACCTAGAAAAATCACAACATGCAGTTTTTGTCCTCCATGAATGTGTGATCCATTTGCAGTAAATCACATCCATGACAAGATGAATTTAAATTAGTTCCACTAGGATATGGGATGTTGAGAGCTTTCTGGAGGGCTGAGATCAGGGCCTGGAGTAAGAGAGCAGGTTGGGGTGGTCAGGGAGACTCAGAGGCCCTACTGGCTCATTCTCTAAAGAGGAGCTGGAAGAGCTTTCCAAGAAGGAAGAACCAAAATGGAGTAGCACTGGTTCAGGGAACTTACCCTGGAGTCCCAAGGCCACTGTTAATCAGGTCCATGACTGTCCACAGCAGACCTTTGAACTGGGCTGTAGACATGTGCATCCCTGGAGCTGCTGACAACCTCTGCTGACCTCTACAATCCCCCCGCCCCACTTCCCAGAGGCTGGGACTGGCCCCATTCCTTTTCTTATAAAATTGCTTCACTGTTCCCAGCACCAACCTTAACTCCTAGCAAGTGACATAATCTCCAACCCATTTTAAAGCTTGCACTTTAAGGCTATAAATACAGCCACCATTTTGTAAAACCTTGAAGCATATTTTCAAGGTCGCTTGAATCTGTGTTTTCCCAGATTGTTATCCTAATTAATAAAGTTATTTTCTTCATTCTTGCCTAGGCTGATTTTATTCTAGATTGGCACAAGGCAGGGGGAGAAACCAGAGGTGGGAAGATGTAAGTGAACTCTTTGAAGGTAAGGAAAGTTAAAGCAATGGGCTGAAGCAAAAGTTTCTCTTTATAGGAGAGAAGGTTAAAGAAGCTTGTTACAAAACTAGATTGGGGAGTAGTTGAAATTGTCCTAAAAAATAGTCGGTAGCAACCAAAATGGCAAAAAGAAAGATGTGTATATTAAGAAGAGCTGAGGCAGGCATGGTAGTTCAAGACTTTAATCCCAGCAGGCCAGTTTGGACTACATGGGGAGACCCGGGCTCCAAAAAACCAAACCAAAAACCACAATAAACAGCTGGAAGACATAGGATGATCAGGCAGGAGAATCACAAGTTCAAAGTCAGCCTAGCCAATTTAGCAAAACTGTTTGAAAAATTAAGGGTTGAGGGCTGGGAATTTAGTGCAGTAGCACTGCGCCTGCCTTGCGGGTGCAAGATCTTGAATTTGATTCCCAGTACTGCCAAAAAAATTTAAAAATAAATAAATAAATAAATAAAATAAAAATAAGGGTTTGGAATGTTGCTCAGTGATAGGTTGATTGTGGGTGCAACATCTAGCACCCACTCCCACCAAAAACCTGGAAAAAGAATTTGAAGGTAAGAGAACTGGTAAATAAGTCTGTCCCAGAGAAACCAAGAGGCCACAGAGCTTAGTACTGAAGAGCTAAGACTGAATTCAGGCTGTTGGATTTAAATTCTGATTCCCATACTTACCAGATGTCTGAACACAGGCAAGGTACTAAATGTTCCAACCTGTGTTTCCCTGTACTTGAAATGGGAAGAAGTAAGCGCATGCCTCACAGGATTGCTACTGAGGCTAAAGGGAGGTGATAGACACAAAACAGTAAGTAAAGTGTCTGCCACACAGTGAGGGCACAATAATGCTGCTGCTGTTATCCTCCTCATCAGTATATGTCATTGGCGTTATTTTTATATAAGATAGTATGTTATTATAAATTAAATACTCAGAAGACTCAGATAATTAAATGAATATAAGAGCATAACATAAAATGTTTAATTTGGAATAAAGTGGAATGCCGAAAGAAGACACAATCTAAAAATTGGACCTGGGATTAGTCAGTGTATAAAAGGTAGTGAAAGTGCATTATGTCTATTATTACTTTATGAAAATTGGAAATGGGTTTGTGGTCTAGAAGGGAAGGAACCTGGGTTCTGTTCTTTGCTCTGCCATTAACATGCATTACCTACTCTTAGGAATGACTATCACAGTTATTTATCTTTGTAAAAGATAAATAATTGTAGACATATGTATTACTGCCATACTTATGGAGAAATTTTTTCTTTTCATCCAAAGTTAACTTGTGGAAAGCCTTCTAAAACATCAGTGTAGTAGGATGTGATATATAATATCCTGTTCATACTTTGAATTCTTGAGAGAAAGAGGGAGAAAAATGATTTTTTTTGGTGGGGGTAATATATGGAAGTCTTTGGGAAGAACTGAAGGCAATTTAAGAACCATCTACCTTTTCAAAGTCTTCCCAGTTATAATCAGTACTTCCAATTACTGCTGTCATGAGTTCTTCAGGCTGGAAACGTTTAATTATCTCTTGGTCAAAGACTCTATAAAATCCTTTATGAAATTCCTCATAGACTGCTTTTATGGAGATGTTGAAAATGTAGTCAACACACTTAGAAACATAGTCTTTCCTCGAGGGGAGGAAAAAATGGCCAGTGATATTCTTTACCAATGATGAAAAAAATCTCCACTTTGCTGTTTTTACTACTTCTATTGAGAAAAAAAAGTAAATTTCTTCATGGCAGATAAGCTGGTACAGGGATATTAAAACCTGCTCAACTAGAATAAGGCTTAGTGTACATAAGCAGAAAGATCAACCCTTTATTTCTCTTTTTTCTCACTTGAACTAGGAAATTTGATAACCACTAATATGAATACATGTCCCTCAACTTACATACGGGGTATGTCCCAAGAAGCCTACTATGAGCTGAAACTATCAAGGTGCAAATGTTTGCTTTGTACATGTTGGTACAGTGAACTGTGTTGGTTATTTCTCACCTTGACCCTCTGGCTCAAAGGCAGCTCTGATTTGGTGCTACTATCCTGCATCGCAAGATAGTATTGTACTTGTGTCCCTAGCCCAGGGGGATATCAACATTCAAAATATGGAGTATAGTTTCTGTGGAATGTATGTGGCTTTCACACTATTTTTAGCCATTCTTCTGCTTAAAATCTTTTCAAAGGCTTCACACTGCCCTTCTTCACTTGCCTGGCAAGGATCAAACCCTCCATGACTTGACCCTTGTCAGTCTCTGCAGGCTCTTCCTCCTTCCATTTTTCTCTCTGGCCTTGCTCTCCTTAAATTCCACTAACTTGCTCGCTCTTTCTCATTTGTTGACAGCCCTACCATGTAACTTTCCTCTCCAGAAGGCCATGTTTTCTCTTCACCTGGCGACTTCTATCAGCCATAAAATTTTAGTATGAATGTGATACTCTCATGGTTGGTTCTTCTGTTGTTTTCCTTCTCCCAATACACGTGACCCCATGGAAATTACTTTTGCAAGGTCTGACTTGTACTACAGTATGCAACCTCCTACAAGACGCATTTCCTGATTACAAGTGATATGGTTTGGATATTATTTTGTGTGTCCACTAAGGTTTTGTGAGTAGGAATTTACTATCCAGTATGAGGTACTATGAGGACTGAAATTTAATGTGATTCTGATGGTTATAACTGAGGCCTCTGAAAGGCGATTAATATTATGTAAGGTATCTCAGTGGAGCCCCTATTATAGAATACTGGTGTCCTAGTAAGATGAGGGAGAGAGGCCAAAAGAGACACATGTGTGCTCCTTGTCTTTTTTCATATGATGCCCTTTGAGGTGACTCTGGCCAGAGGAGTGGTTGAAATGAGTGTAAAGATGAAGGACCCCTGGGCAACAGTACAGGGCTCCTGGAATGCATGGTTAAAGATTAGAGCAGATCTGCAGGGCAACAGATAAAATTATTCTTAGAGATGTTTGCTCCAGCCATTGAGTTCCTCCTTCTTAGATAAGCTTGTTTAGCAAGCCATCCTGTTCTTTTCCTTTCCTCCCCCACAAATGTTTTTCTTTTGCACCTTTGTTTACTCCCTTAGAAATAAAAGGACAGGGTTTTTTCACATTGGAGCTGTTTTCCTGAGACTTTTTCATGCTGATGAGTCTCAGTAAAGCAGTCCCTCTGAGCCTCATGGAATTAAAGCTGAACTCAACTCCAAGTAATTTTTCATTCTTTGCACACCACAGTCACACACTGTAACAATGCCCTGTGCAATATTGGGACTTTCCCCACAAGAAATCCATCATCCAATGTAGGTCACTGAACCTCCACAACAGTGAACTAGAGAAGCCTCTTTTTTTTTTAAAGTTACCTGTGGCTAGGTATTTCATGATAGTAATGAAAAATGGACTTGCACAGCAAGATTTTTACTAGAGGCATTTATATTAAAGGGGTGATGATGTACCTTTCAACAGCCTTTGTGAACTAATCTACTTTTACTAACACTGGGAAGATGGGGAAGGAGCAAGAAGACAAGGGAAAGGGGTGAAAAGAAAAAAAGAGATATAGACACAGATAGAATCATAGCATTTGCTGATTTCTGTGGTATAAATATTCCCATTATGCTGATTTCAAGCCAGCACATTTTAATAGTAAATTGTGAACAGTTTTGAGAATTTAACAATCAGCTCTCCAAACATATCATTACCCATGTTCTCTTAGTCTCTTTCTTGGTTTTCATTTTCTTCAGAGTGCTTTTACTTATCTGACATTATAGTGCATAATAGTTTGTGCATTATCTTCATGCCACACTAGAATTTGATTTCCAGATTAAGTTCTTTTCACTGTTGTAATACCAGTACCCAAAATATTGTGTGGTACAGAATGAGAGCTCCAAAACATTTGTTAAATGATGGAAATATTTAATCTTGAATCCTTCCTCCCTTTCTCTTACACTATAACCATTTTATCTTTCCAAAAGTTAATCTAAAACAATCTTTTGAGAAGCTGAAATACATTTGTTTGGTATGGTTGGTTTTTCTGAATCAGGGTGTCACCACTATGTGGTCCAGGCTAGTCTTGAACTTGCTCTGTAACCTAGGCTGGTCTAGAACTTGGGATCCTTTTGCCCCCACCACTGGAGTGCTGGGATTACAGGTGTGGGCCACCACTCCAGGGTTAAAATACATTTTTAAAGTATAGTGATAGAAAAACTTTATGTATATGCAAAATAATTATTCTTGGTCTTAAAACTTACTTGTTGGCTTCATTCACAAGTACAGAGGTCCCACTTGGAACTAAATCAACATCATTTTGATCCCAGTGTATCTGTAACCAAAATTATTCAGTTACCAAGCATGAAAGTAAGTCTGAATAATCCTCCATTCATATCATTATTGCCAGTACTCTTTGAATAGAGAATTTAAAATAACTGTTAATAATTTTTGTAGTTCAGACTTTTAAATACATGTAAAAATTTTTAAAATCTATTCTAATACATGCCATATGTAGATTTCAAGCATAAATTATTCTGTTTAGTTTAGAATGTTTATATTAATTGAATAATTGGTGTATCATTATTTGCAAATCAAAACATTTAAAGTATCAAATGAGAAGAAAGTAGCAGGGATGATTTTCCAGTATAGAAGTAAAATATCTTTCAAAAAATATGATTCCATAATTAAGATACTATAATTAAAATTATTTTTCAAAAGATTGGACCTGGGGCTGTGCCTCAATAATAGAACACTGGTCAAATATGTTCTAGGCTTTGAGTTTGGTCCCCAGACCCACAAAAATAAAAAATAGATTATAACTGCCATTTATTAGTACATACAGAAAAATATATGTCAAGTTCTTTAATGTCACTAGATTCATCATTTAGAACTTCTTGCAAACTCCTAATGAAAAATTCAGTTTAAAATTCATATATGATAATCTTATAAAATTTCAAAAGTAATAAATGTTCAGTGGAAACAATTTTGAACAAGATAAAAATGTATCAAATGTGATATAATTTCTTCTTTCCACCTCTGACTCTTCTTCCTAGAACAACTTCTATTTATGGTTTGATTTGTTAGAACCATTGCTGTCCCATAGACACTGCTGTGTATTATGAAAATAATACAAAGGAACACCATCTCCAGGGCATGGATTCTCAACCAGGGATGATTCTATCTTCTAGGGGACATTTATCCAAATCTGGAGACATCTTTGGTTGTCACAATGAGGGGAGGATTGCTACCGGCAGCTAATGAGTAGGCTACAAATGTTGCTAAATATGGCACAATACTGAGGACAGCCTGCCAAAACAAATGCCCAGGGGTCTACGGGGATAGCTCAGTGCTTGATTTTCATCCATGAGGCTCTGGGTAGTGTACCTGCACCACACACGACACACACACACACAATGTCAACATTGCCAAGGCAGAGAAACCTTCCTCTAGTGTAAATGTAGCCAAGTTATTCTCCCATACTGTACATAAGAAAAGAATCCTTCCCCCAACTTGTTCCCAACACTCTAGTAACTTTACTGTCAGTCTGTAAGCAGAAAAATGACATTCCATTTCTTGACACATGAAATACATTTAGCCTAATTTAAAAAAGAAAACATTTAAATATTTTGCTTTGATCTTGTTCTATCAATGTAAAGTAGTTTAAATAGACATTTTATGAAGAACTAGTCTAAGTTTGCATTTCTTTTTACATTAAAATTCCAGATCAATATAAACACCTGGAGAAAAACCCTGACACAGATAGCCCAAGCTAAAGTAGTATTATCTTTAATTAAGATACTATCATAAAATAAAATGATTATAGCTATTCCACATTTTAAAAGCAACCTGTTTTTTATAAGAAAATTGTTATAAATAAAAAACATGACTACTTGAAGACAGTCTTGAATGTTTAAAAATGTTGCTATCACTATTCAGAGGAAGTTTGCCTATGAAAAATGGAAAAATGTTAACAGGTTAAATAAGCCATTTAACTACAGTGTAAGATTAGTCATCTCAGCACTTTCAGTATCATTTTTATTTTATTAAGTTTACCCAGTTTATTAATAGCAAACTAAGCCTTGATTGGCAGTCCTGACATTACTAAATTTCAAGTTTTCTATTAACACAGATTTTATGATTTAATTTCTTGAACAGCAGTTTCTTGATCAGGAGTTTCATCTTCTTCAAAAGTTGGGTTGTCAACACGAGGAACAACATCCACTGCCACAAAATTTGCTTCATGGTTTACCAGCTGTAGGTTTTCATTTGCTGATTGCATGCGTTCCTCTAGAGGCGGTTCATCTGCTCCCTATACTGAAGCTTATCCAGATGATGCAGTCTCACTGTGATTATCCTCTTCATGGGCAGAAGCACTATTGGATGCATCACTGTATACAGGGACTTGCAAAGACACTGACCCATCTTCAACATCCACCTCAATTCCCTAAAGCTTTGAGAATGTCACATTTGCACATGGGGCAAGTCCTATGTTCTAACAGCCATGGGTCAACACATGTCTTATGGACAATATGGTTGCAGGTTAAGATGCATACCAAATCATTTGGTTTATATAGTTCAATACACACGCACAACTATCTCCATCAGGGCCACTTTCCTTGTCTCCTTGTTTCAGTGTGCGCAGCTGAAGCCTTCCAATAGCTTTTTTGGCATCTGCTTTTAATTGTCTAGTTTGTAGAGGCTTTGGTCTATAATTGGCTGGCTCAAAGGCAGGGTGGCACATGGCAAAGGGGCAACAGTTCATAGCAGACCGAAGGTAGCAAAGCAACAAGGGGAAAAAGGAGAAAGATTTTTCTACCTCACATTCTCTACTAAGTTTGGATTGAGGAGAAAGTGTAGGAGGGATTAGCAGAAAAATGTAGGGTCATGATTTTGACATCTTGACTTTTTTCCTTTGGTCTGAGTAAAACAGTCAGCCCCTTTTCTCAGTTTGCTTGTATGGACAAACCTTACACCATAAAGGGCAAAGCACTGGAAATGAAGCCACTATTAAGTTCTGAGGGAGTTGGCTAGTCAGGTCTGATGAACAGGATGACACTATATGGTAAGATATGAATTAGGCACTATTTACAGTGTAAGAGCAAAGAAACTTGAAAAAAATATGAAGAACATTACATCCGATGAAACCTAGGGAGTTAAAAACTTCTAAATGCATTAAAATGAACTCTAATAAACCAAGTTATTGTTGCGGTTTAGATTTTCAAAATGTCCCACAAAAGTCTCATGTGTTCAGAGGTTGAGTTTGAGAAGGTGACTCGATAATGGGAACACTATAATCATCAGTGGATTAATCCACTGAGGATTCCATAGCTGAATGTGCTGTTTGGAGGTCAGGCCTGGTCAGAAAGGGTCAGTCACTGGGGACATGACCTGGATAGTAAAACTCTTCCCAACACCCCTTCTTTCTTTCTCTGCTCCCTGCATGGCATGATGTGAGCAGCTTTCCACCACCCAGGCCTTTCTACCATGCCATTTCTGCCTTGGAGCCAGCTGACCACGGGCTGGACTATAAGCCAAACAAACTTCTCCTTTTTCAAATCATGGGTGTTGAGTATTGAGTCCCAGTGAAAAGAAAGTAAGTATTCAAAAAATTACTTTCTAATGACATTTATAGATCTAAGTGTTTTTTACCTTTTGATAATGCTAGGGAGTGGTAGTGTCCACAGGAAACTTGTATTATTTTTACACTAGCCAGAGCTTTTATTTTCCTATAATAAAATGATACAAAATCTATTAATCTTTATTTAGGGGAAGTTCCAGGTGAACTACAAATATTTAAAAATATCCTAGGAATAGGAAATCAATTTTATTCTCGTATATTTCTGTAGTACTTTTATTTTAAAGCCCTGAACATCCTTCCCTCCATCCCTTTTTTAGAATGGTCTCACCCAGAAGCCTGCAAGGCCAGCAAACCCTGCTCTTCCCTCTTGTAGGGTCACAGGAGTGCTAGAGCTCTCCCACTCACTGCACTCTCTTGTCTCTTCACTGCACCAAACTAGAGTTCAAGGTCTTCTTTGCCTAGTTACCGGCAAGCCTGCCCTTGACTGTCATTTAGACAGTAGCTAGGGACAGTGGAACTCTTATTCATCCATTCATGTACATCACCAATTAGGTGACAAGGCATTTAGCTACCTTAAGTATCATGTTGGAGACCAGAGGAGAATTAAGGACTCATTGGCCTCCTCTGTGAGCATAAAGGAGAAAGGCTGCCCTCAGGGGTGACTGCATATTGCAGGTTCTAGGGAAAATTTAAGACAGCTGAGGTTCAGTTGTTTACCAGAATATGTATTAATGGACATTGGAAAGTAGAAGCATTTTGTGTTATTCTGATTGCTTGTACCCGAATTTGGGTGAATAAAGGCAAGATGAGGTACACAAGGGGTGCGTGGGGTGCTCCTGTCTCCTAGCAGGAACAAGACCCCTGGCTACCTGCATGTTAAGCTGACTCTGTGTCTCTGTCATTTATCCTCGTTCATGCCTGGATCAGGGAGAATAAAGTAGCAGGTCTAGGTCTCAGAACAAGGCTGGCTGGTAGGTCGGTCACAGGTGGTGCTTGAACATAGGGCTCGGGACCTGAGTTCAGTTACAGGGTCATAGTTACTCCTGATGTTTATCTGGGCTTCACTGAATTTGTTTGGCATTCAGAGCACTGGGCACAAATCACATTGTGTCAAATTGTTCTTTTTTTCCATCTAGTTTATCGGTACATTTTAGGTATACAGTACAGTTATATTCATCATGGGGATCTTGTACCTTTACATGATGTATCTTGGTTCTTATTTTTTCCCCATTCCCCTGCCCTCCCTTCACCCCCTCCACCCTTCCCTATTTACAAAGACTTTGTTTCCATGTTTTTCCTTTTCTCATATTTTTCTTTTCCCTTCTTTCCTTTCCCCTTCCCCTCCCACTTCACCTATTCCTTTACACATTCTCTTCCTATTTCACAATATCAATTATACATTTTGATTCTTACTTACACTTTTAGTTGTTCACACCAGAGAAACTATTTGGTATTTACACATTTGTGTCCTATTTATTTCACTTAAGAGTTTAGCCTCAATGTGCATCCATTTAGCTATAAATGTCTCTGGTTTCTCCTTCTTTATGGCTGAGTAGTACTCCATTTTATAAAAAAAATCTTCTTTATCCAGTTTCCAGTTGATGGGCAATTGGGCTATTTCCAAGTTTTAGCTATTACAAACTGTGCCGCTATAAACATGGGTGCTCATATATTACTGTGGTACCATTCTTTTAATTCTTTTGGAAAGATACCCAGTAGAGGAATAACTGGGTCAAATGGGACTTCCAATCCTA